CAGAGAGAAATGTAAGTTCAATTGAGAAAAATAAAAAAGATTGAGAATGAGGGAATCATTCTCACATTTGAAATTGGAAAGAAATAAACATGTGTTTTCCAACAAAACATGTTTCCTTAAACTACGCTAATCATTACCTTAATATATACAAAAACATGGTTTTTTTCGTTTTTTTTTTAAATTTTTAAAAAGATATTTTTATCGAAAAATGATTTTAAATATACCAAAATTCATGATTTTTTATTCTCTACAAATAGACATCCATATTTGCTACAGTACATTCATTATTCACTTATGAATAAAAATATATAATTAATTTTTTTACAGTATACAACTTATTAATACATGAATAACAAATTAGTTGTAACAAAAATCTGATAACTGTTTTATTCATATATCAATATAAAATATGACGACAACTAATACACGTTTTATTTATATATAAATAGAATATATGAAGAAAGATGATGTAAAAATATATATTTCAAGTAAGAAACTTTATTACGTGTCATATTCATATACGAACGATACTTAAACTATAAATAAAAATCAAGGATACGTTTTATTAATAAGTGAACAACGAATGTACTGTAATAAAAAATCTGATAGTTTGTTACAATTGGATATGTGTGATATCCACCACCACCACCCTTAAAACTCTATTCTCTCACTTCTATATTCAAAAAAATTAAATGCAACCACCATTAACTCATCGTATCCGGTTGGATGTCACCTTAATGCCCTTCTTGCCCCTATTAGTGTCGCCGTTATTGCCCCTTCCCCAAATAAGCTAGGATTTTTACCCCCATCTTTTTTGAGTCGCCACTAATACCATTTAAATATGTCTTCAATAATCATGTCTCCGTTATTGCTTAGGATATGTCTGATATCTTTAAACTAATCCAATATATACAAACGTTGGACAATTAATGGTTGGTCTTTTGGTACAACCGGATATGTGTTACAGTCACCACCACCATCCTTAAAACATTGTTCTCCTACTTATAGATTCGAAAAACTTAAATGCAACCACCATGAACTACTAACCTTCGCTACCATCCACCACTGACGCAATCATTGCAACCTTACTGTTACACCACTAAAACTTTACCACTACACCACTGACTATTATCTTGAGAATATAAGAAGTAAAGGGGCCTTATCCTTAAGTTAAGAGAATAATTTATCATCCTCAAACTAGATGACGCTTTATTTCTTGAGATACAATTTTTTTTGTGCACCATTACTACAACAACAATAAGCATCTATGGGAGACGAGGTCTACAGGGACGAAACATGTCGTCTCTATAGATACCCTATAGGGACAACATGTCGTCTCTTCTATATAGTTGACAATTGTTTTGTTTTTTACTTTTGCAGCTACATGGAAGGAAACTGGATTAGGAGCGTTTTGGGGAAAGCTATAGGGATGATTTGTCTTCCCCATATCTTTCTACAACTTAAACTAGGAGAACAACCTCCTTTGTTTCGTTCACGCACACTCGATCATTAGTCTCTATCTCTCTCTCACTCTCGATCGGAGATTCTCCCTTCCCTAATTTCGACCATTATCTTCTCCTATGGTGACTTCCTCACCTCCCACTCCCCGTGCATCTTCTTCCTCTCTCCATGGATTCTCATGCTAGTTGTCTAACACCACCATTAGGCTCAACAACGTCGATTAGTTTCAACGCCGCCGATTCTGACTATCGGGTTCCTTTTCACATTCAGTTACAATTACTATTGAATACAAGCCCTACACCAGCTACCAGGTTAGTAATTATCTGTTTGAACCTATAATTGAGGTATATGTTAGCAATTATGTATTTTAAACTGGAATTGGGATATAAGTTAACGATGATGACGACGACAAACTCAAATTCGATACAGATTTGTTTTCAATTTCGCTTTGTACGGTTTCTTTGGCTACAGCAAGGTTATTGTATGTTCAAATGGCTTATTTCGGAAGCTTATCTTACACCACACCAAAAATTAAGGTAAGTTATATTATTGTTGAACCTCATCTTTGTTTTTACAAATCTCGATAACTCTTTGATGTAAACAAAGTTAGCTGCAATCATGTCAATCTGTTGTATGTACAACTCGGTAATCTTCTAAAACCTATAATTCTGACTATCGACTTCCTTTTATGCGATTCTTGTGTGTGTACTTGATTTTTTTTCAATTCTTGTATGCATACTTGTTTATTATGCTTTTGAATTGCACAATTGTGGTGTGTGTAGGATTGGAGATGCAATGGCAAAGGCTATGTAGCTTATCACAATTTTATTACCAGGCTGGAGAATCGAATGAAGTTGCAGCCACCTAGCCACCTAGCCACCTGAGTAGTCCTGGAACCAGGTGATTGCCATTTTTACTTGATGTTCACTAAATGGTTATTACTTGCTGACTTACCTTTGTGTTCCCAGACATGATCCAGAAATAGATGGCTGTATCATTATGGGGAGGGTTGACTGCACTGAAGAAGTTGACCTGTGTAGAAGGTAAGAAACTCTAAACCTTAAGCCCTAATTTTGATGAATACAATGCTTTAAAGATGTTATTTTTTCTCATTGTGTGATAGTATTTTATATTTCTTGAATAGTTATATGCAGAGTCATTAGCTAGGTTTGCAGGAGGTTCTCCATATATCTACCCTCTCTATGGACTAGGTGAATTACCTCAGGTATAATCAATAACAAAAGATTCGTTTATTTAATTATTTAATTATTTAATTTGCTATTTGAAAATATTTTAACTTTATCTGATAAATATTTTCAGGCATTTGCTCGTTTGAGTGCAGTCTATGGTGGCACCTACATGCTCAACAAACCAGAATGCAAGGTAATCCACAGAATTGGAATTCCGGATTCCATTCCATTCCAAGGATGGAATTCAGTTTTGTTAGATTCCTTCAAATCCCATGTTTCATGAGTGAAGGGAATTCAATTCCATTCCATTCCATTTTTCATTTTTTTACAAAAAGACCAAAATACCCTTTGTCATATTCCAATTCCATTGACAGATTCAGTTACTTTCAAAAAACAGGCAGAGTTTGAAGATGGGAAAGCAATTGGTGTTACATCAGAATGAGAAACTGCAAAATGCAAAAAAAGTAGTATGTGATCCCTCATATTTACCCGATAAGGTATAAAATTTAATTTTAATAAACTTTTATTCTTACCTTTTTCACTAGAAATTAAAATCAAAAAAAAATCTCATTTGTTGAAACAGGTAAAAGCAGTTAGAAAAGTAGCACGTGCTATTTGCATCATGAGTCACCCCATCCCACACACTAATGATGCTCATTCAACCCAAGTCATCCTACCCCAAAAACAACTAGGCCGCAAATCTGACATGTAATAATTACTTTTTTACCCCTCAATAATAACATATCTACAAATTTTCAAATGACTTAAGTTTTTTCTTTAGTTATTTGTTTTGCTGTTAATATTCTCACAATGTAACACCGAAGGGAAAGTTCATTGCCTTTGTGACAACAGAAGCGGAAACAAATAATCCATAAACAATAATAAAAACTTCACTTGCTGATGTGGCTTTTCTAATTTTATTTTTTCTCTTTTATTAATATTTGTAATAAAAAAATCACACAAATAAACTGAAAGCCTAAGTGAGGGACTAAAGTAGACACTTTGGATAGTTGGTTGTTTAAAACAACATTACTAATTATAGTTGATGTTGTACATTCTAAAAATCACACAAATAAAAGTTATCTCATCATCAATTGTTTTCTTTTTGTTAAATTCCGTTTTATTTTGTACATTTTAAAGTCTCATTTTTTTTATATAATTATTGTCTCAGGTATTCAATTTCACTACAGGAAGATTAACAGATAAAATAGTTGTGGACAGCAAGGTCAATTTATTTTTTGTGGGGATTCACATGTGAGTAGGCCTTACAAACCATCTTGGTTTCATCTTACTTGCAAAAGTTTCTCCAAGTCATGAGCTTCTCCCAAGTAAACATGGCTACATAACCAGTTTTCTTGATGTTGTATATATGAAACTTTTAAAGAATTTCAAATTATGTAGTATGTTTTAGTAAACAATTGTCACAACTAGCAATTTAGCTAGGAAATTTTATTCTCATGTAAACATCATCTATTGTAAGGCATGTACAGTAAGTGAAAATCATACTCTATGCTTAATCAAAATCATCCATTTGAATCGAACCTCACTCAAGAAGCCCATAACCTAATACAATGCATTTCATATAGTCAACTATGGGTTGAAAACCCTAGAAATCCCGATTCAAGTTAATATGGACTACGATCCTCCTATTGGGCCTAATGGACCAATAAACTTTCAATCTGACTATTTTGGGTCAAGGAACCCTAATTGGGCTCTAATTGAACCCACATTAATGAAAGTAAAACATTTTGGGTCATGTGGGCCTAGAATACTTCATTTTATCTCTAATGGGCCATGTTGGGCCATAAAATGATTCCTTAGCCCTAATGGGCCGTAAACTTCATTCCTTTTTATCTTATTGTGCCGTAAACACATAGGTGGGCCCAATGGGCCGAAAACTTCCTTTAGTGGACCTTTTATTTTCAGATATATTCAATTCAAGCCCAACATCAAATTCTTTCCTTCCCTCACCTCATTCACTGTTCAAAAAAAAATTGTAAATAAACTAATTAAGTGACACCTCACCTTTAACTAATGGACTTCCAAGCAAATTGCATCACATGTATCTAAACCTCTACATCTTAATCTTCCATGTATTAACCAATCTTCCTCTATCTCTTTTCTCTTATTACTCTCGGCCGAGAGTGTCACACCCCGCTAAAGCGGAAACGCAAGGTATGACAGCGACAAAGGTTTCATTGCAAAAGATAAAG